ATGCTTTGCAGAGGCTGTGTTTGCGGATGCGACTTCTTACTGGACGTCACACTGCCGTGGCAAGGGCCGAGGGGGTCGTCCCGGCCCGCTTTTACACCGCCCGACCACTGAGCTGTAGGGAAGACTCCGGCACCGTCGGCCCGGACTTTAGGCGCGTCTGACCGTTTGTCGGATCTCTTCTCTGTGCTGGTGAGGACGGAGCCGGACATTGGTGCATTATTAGGCTGTTGGGGCGGGGACAGTTCTGGGCTGTGGTTACAATTAGTGGAGTCCAAGCAGGCTTTTACTGCCTTGTAGTCTCTTGTCGGAGTGGTCTTGTTCTGTTGACTGAGGTCAACATCTCCTCTGAATTCCGCTGGTAGCGTCTGGGGGGGATTTCCCACCATGCTAGTGGACGCTTTAGTCGGAGCACTGATCTCTCTGCTCACCGTGCCTCCATCCCCAACATTCATTAGTGTAGAATCCACCTGAGTAACGAGACAGAATCACAACCCTGTGAGCAGACGGGTGACAGGACAGAATCGTGTGATCAGGCCATCAATGCAAACAAAAAAACTAAAGAAATAAAGAAATCATTACCTGCATAGGTGTTTCTTTAGCACAACATGCCTCAGACGGTAGCTGAGCCAATCAAGACGGCGCTTTGTTTGAAATACACCGATATGCTGCAGAGAAGAAAGAAAGAATTTTACATTGTGGACAACATTTTCCGTTCTCTGTTCTGAAATGAAAATACGCCCATTAAAACATAACTAATGGAGTCTTTTGTTGCCCCACGCTAACTACGTGCTGAAAAAGAAGACGTTTCGGTTTCTGCAGAGAAACTGACAGGACTTTTTTCTTGGTGTTGATCCACCTGCTCATCGGTCGAGGATGAACCCAGAAACCAGACCCTCTGATCTAGAATCACTAATGTTCGAAAACCTAAAATCTGGCTGACAACCTTCCTGCTACAGCAGTCCTACAAACAAACTCAACTCAGACTAAATTAAACCGTATCAAAAAAAGTGTGTTCATTAATTCATTAAAGATGCTTTTTCCTGACTTGACAATTATGCCTTCTATAACTAAAATAAATCTCAAGAGTGCATTTAAAGGATTCTTCACACTTCCTAATCATAACTTTGAGTACCTGTGTTTGAAGTGTGTAGCCTCTGAAACAATAAATGTTTTAGCTTGGAGCTTTAATTAATTTAATAACTAATATTTGCTCACTCCTAAGTGGGTGAAAATATTTATTCCATTACCTTTGGTGCCAAACATTAAAAGGACTCAGCAAATTGAGAGAAATCTTTGTGTACGAGGGACAAAGCCAAAGCTGAAAGCCTGTGACCTTCACGCCGACAGGAACAGAGCTGAAGTGGACGGACCCCGGATCATCTGAGGACCAGAGTCTGACTCGCTATGTGTGGATGCGACTACAACATAAAGCTCCACCGGAGAGGAATGTTTCCCATGTTACCGGCTGAAAAATACATAGTTTAATCACAGTGCAGCAGCACCTTTTCAGGATTTTCACCTTAGAAATCAGTCTGTGTATGCTCGACCTGCTGGTTAGCCACCGAAGAGGCTCCGTTGTTACAGTAAAACACGCCTGTGTGTCACATGACCACAGACGCCGTGTTTTCAATGGCTGAACCAGAACAGGCGATTTAGCTTTTCGCATTCCGTCCCAAATAGCCAAAAGATCTGTTCTGCATCCCCCAGGTTAGTCACTGTGTCAGTGATGCCGACTAAATAAAGCTGATTTCTGTTTGGGCCGTGCGCTCGCTCCACAGCAAGAGGGTTCCTGGTTCAAATCCCCAGGCTGTCTGTGGGAGTCTGTATGCTCTCTGTGGGCACTCGGGAAATGGACGGATGACTTCTGCCTGATTTGGTCTGAGACTGAGGTGATTTTGTGTCAGAACTCTGTCTTCCTTCACCATAAAGCATGTGAACTTAGTTTGAAACAGCAGATATTACCACACTGCTCTGAAACTCTAACAATTTTACAATCTCCCATCCCGTTTAAATAGTTTCTGTAGTAAAATTCATGAACACTCCTGTCCAGAGAGACGACCTGCTCTTTTTCTTAATGAAGGCATAAAGAGGCAGAAAACGTTTAGAGCTTTTTGCATCAAAGTGCACAGAGCTAGTAAAGAAAGCCCAAGTTACCAATGAAACATCCCGAGTGCTGCAGTCATCTCAGAGAGGGTTTTGTTTAGTCGGCTAACTCAGACGAAACCTGCCTGTGGTCAACTTACTTCTGTGTCGTGCTTTGAGGGAAAACATCGTTTACTGAAGCAAAACCAGCCATCCACCTGCTTAATCCAACTCCACATCTCTTGGGGGGCTGAAGCCTATCCCACCTGCACCTGGGCGAGAGGTGGAGCTGACCCCGGAGAGGCCACCACCCCCTCGCAGCGGGGCGCACGGGCACTAACTAGTCACGGCTCGCGTCCACTCAAAAGCACCCACATGCCTGATTTTTAAGGTGGGAAAGCAGCCACACCAGAACCCACACACACACCTGCCAGCCTGGAAACCGCAAAAAGAAGGAAACAATGCCGCAATTCGGCCCAGGGACCCGCATTCTGGTGGTGTGTAACACCCCCAAGCTAACCCACGCCTGACCTAACACTTCACATAACATAACACATAATATTTGGACGAAAAAGGGGATGAAACACAGCGGTAAAGAGGCCACTGACCCAACCTTTTCAAAATATGCTGTTGGCATAAAATTTAACCTGATCTCCTTAAAAAAAATGATTAATTTAGCTGAAATATGAGCTGTAAATGAAATATAAATCATAACATTATGTGATTATCTCAATCTCACTGAAAGGAGCAAAGTAACAGTCACCATTCATTAAATTAACTTAAAACTTATCCTCTCAGGGACCAAAAGAAAATCAGATTTGACTGTAACAGAAATGTGTGCCAGATTTGGCTGCATTAGAAATCACAGTGGAATAAATGTTACCGGTAATATGGGTGGTTACCACCTAGATCACATTTTTAAAGGAAGGGTGGGATAAAAGAACACATTTTGACAACCTCAGCTTCTACTCCCATGATTTCTCAGACTTTTATCAGTCACTGTAAACAGAAGCTTGTATTTGGGTGGCCTCTGACCCCTGGGATCCCAAGGCCTGCTCCACACTCACCCAGGGAGGGGGGGGGGGGGGGACTCTAAGTATTTGGTCATTCTTGTGGATTTGCAGACTAATTGTAAGTGAAAATGTAATGTTTTTTGGAGACAGAAGTTCATCAGCCAATTAATACAAAACCAAAAGCCATCAAATGCGCAGTTGGGAGCAGGAAGCACATCGCACGGCCTAAATATCCCAAAGCAAACTGAGCCGTCCCCGCTGGAACAGCCTCTGCACGCAGGCAGAGGTGAGCGCAGCTGCAGCCCAACGGAACCTCCACGGAGGGGGGGAAATCCACGGTAGAGCTTTGAGGGAATGGAAACATGTCTCGTTTGAGTCACAGCGATGGATGAAGCCCACGGTGGCTGGCACACCGACCCCTCCGCCGCGCGGATGCGGCTCCGCGAGCCCCCGCCGGACGGCAGCTGCCCCCGGCCGGGCTGCGTCTTTGTGCTCCGCGGCGTCTGAATTCATAAGTCTGATCTAGGCCGGAGAAACGCACGCGGCGGTCCGCGCGCACACGCCGTGGGCTGCTCGGCCCTGGCGAAACAAAGTGGAGCCTGGACAACAACTAAATAAATAAATAAAACCTTTCAGTTAAAAAGAAAAACAGCCTGGAAGGCAGAGCACCACATCGCTGCTGTGAGCCCACTTCCACCCGGCCAGCTCGCTGTCCTGCCCACGGCAGATAGAAAACAACACACGCACGACGCACACGCACGCCAACGAGCCGATGTTGCATCCGAAAAGTGCACAATAGGACCACGGAAAACAGCACGCTGCTCTCTTTTTGAGAACATCAGCATGGAAAAACTCCCGGAGAGCTCCGGGTGGCTGGAGATGGCGAGCGGGGGGAGGAGGAGGCAGGCAGCCGGCTCTCAGGTGACCGGTCCGGCCGCAGACCGGCGACC